CTTAGGAAGTAGTGCAACCTTCTTGGTTGTCCCTATCCGAATCTTCTTTCTGGCTTTCCTTACTTCATTTACCTTCTGCCTTTCCCCAAAAAACTGAAACTCAAGGCACCTTACAAAGTAAAATAAAATATAATTAGAAATATGCAAAAGATCAGCATTAAAACAGAAGTAAACTATCACCAGCATTTGAAAAAAATGGAAAGCATACAGTTACAAATAATAAAAAGCTGTTTTCAAACCAGTAAAATTGGATAGATTGTAGCCCTCTCTTCAAAGCCCTTTCCTTTACAACCTTCAGCTCTCAAAAGAATTATTTACCTTTTGAGATGAAATGACCAGCACTCCCATGTTTTTTCCAAAATCATTTCCATCCACTATAGATTTAGATGTCATCATACTGACTGTCTTATTTTCAATCATTTTCCTACTAATTCCTTGCATTGTGTTTGCTATTTCTGTAGCTGACACATCCATATTGCTATCCTCTGTGGTTACTGTCAGTTCAGATCCCATCAATTCTTGTGTAAATTGTTTGTTCCAATATGCTGTATCACTTTGCTTTCCTCGTCTTGTGCTATTTTTTCTATCTGTTTATTTAACTGGGTGATAAAGACAGACGTTTATTTTGTGTTTTAGCTCATAACACTCCTCTGTCCCATTATTAAGAATGATATCCGCTTTCTATACCCGCTTGCTTTCATCCTCGACTCATGCAGAGCTAATGGGCTTTACAGTATAATGGCCAACACGGGCCAAATGACGCTTCCTCTGGAACATGGCTCTGATGTGTTACATTATTACTGCAACTATTTATTTTAGGGCAGTGAGTTAAAAAATAACTCCTCCAAATGAAATTGCAGAGGGAGTTTGAATGCACACCGATGTGATTACTGGAGTTGGAGTTGGGCCCAGGGTAACGGGGTCAGTATCTCAACTTCTGCCAAAACGTCCAGCCATCAAAGGAGCTGACACTTTTGGAATACAGGCCTCTATTATCACCAGCCCACAATGGCTCTCACAGTTGGATCTGCATCTTTTAAAGGTCCAACTTGGCTGCAGACGCGCTAAAGACGGACTCTGAAGCACAGGCACCGCCTGGAAAGCAACCCAGAGTTATAGCTTGGTGAACTGTCCATTGTTCGTCAGTCTCTTTCGCAGGTGTGGAGAGAATATTCTCTTCCTTTGAACTGCTCCATCCGAGTTTTACCAGCCAACTGGCAGTCGCGAAAAGCAATAAAACTTTTCTTCCTCTGCCAAGACATGGACAAAGCCAGGCTGCACATGAACTTCCCCTGTTCTCCAAAATAGGCCAGAAGCAGAAATTTACATATATCTGTCCAGTTCATTTGTAGTCACGATTGTGTGTGTTAGTATGGATGCCTAGAAGTTATGCTTTGCTCTCCTGCTGTGCTTTTTTCCCCTTTTGGTCCAAACTATATTTACAAATTGTCCTCCTAGATTAAAACATTCATGCTGTTTTGGGAGCGGGGTGTTGATGGTGATTCATCATTAATATTTCTATTCTGTCCTCTTTGCCAGAAGGCCACCAAAGTACTGCAAAGCCATTCTGGAATAAAAGAATGAAAGCAGAAATCTTGAAAGTATTTAAAATCTACAAAATGACATATTTTTAATCACATAATAATAGTAATAATAATAACAACAATAATAACAATTTTATTTCTTACACACCTCTCCTCATGGCTTGAGGTGGGCTGCAACATCGGTAAAACACACAATCATTTAAAAAAATTCTACAAAATATACATGCCAAAACATATTTCTACAAACTACATAATAAAAGAGCTTGTGTATCTATTTGATCTACAATAGATTCACACTGTGCAACTTGGATCTCTGAAATTTGTCATGCTTAGATTGATGATCTCAGTGAAGCAGTCACTTCAGTGTCCTGCTTGTTCATTATATGACATTGAGCCACTGGACCCCACTGAGCAGCAGACACTAGACTATTCAGGATTAAATGGCTTCTGAGAAGTCTAAGGTCAGCATCAGAGCAAGCCTTGAGGTTTGGTTCAAGAAAGGAAGAGCCGTGATTGCTGTTGTGCCACTCTTTGTATTTGTCCAGACAATGCTGTGCTCTTGTCCTCTTTTCCTGGGTTAGATTGCAATTGTGTAAGTGTTTTGTCACTTTACAGTCCTCCCCATTTGCTGGTTTAACTTTGGTGGGTTTGATTTATTCACAGATCAATAAGTTACCTCTAGGGATTTCTAGGTCTTTTAAGATGAGTCTGTAGTCAAATTCCAGTAGAACTTGGCACCTGTGTGCTTTGCTGCTGAGAAACAAATTTATTTGTGGCCTTAGATGATGTGTGCTATTTTTTAAAAAGCTGCAAGCTAGTGTGGTGCAATGGTTTCAGTTTTGGATCAGGATTTTGAGCAACCAGGGTTCAAATCCTCACTTAGCATGGAAGCCCACTTGGTGACTTTGGGCAAACCCCACTCTTTCAGAAAGATACAATAAAAATCCCAAATTTTGCCACAAAAACCCTGTGATAGGGTCATCATAAATTGGAAATGAATGGAAAACACACAATATCAAGTGGCTGGTGGAGATGCTTTTTGAAAAGCAGGGCTGAATAGTATCTTTATGATCCAGAACCATGGGGTTTTTTTTAAATGAATTGCTTCTGATTCGGTTCTAACTTCTATGACTGTCAAATCTCACTTGACTTGCCATTTCTTCCCTGATTTCCCTTCATGTTCTAAAAGTACACTCATTCGGTCTTTGTTAGAAATTGACAAAGAAGGAACAGATCCACATTCAACCTAGCTTTGATATGCTCAAGGAAGAAAGGTCCAGGTTAGCTATGGTGTCCTCCAGTCGAGTTTTCTCTTGCAGCCTTGTTACGTTGTGGTTTCTTTCCAGGAAACCTTCATGCTTCTGAATAGATGGGCAGGTGCACCGTATCACAGAAACATCCAAGGCACCAGAAACACAGCAGGTATCCATCCAGAATTGCTGGCCATTTTTGGATTTGGATCCTTCCCCCCAAGAACTTGAGTGCAGGTCTGTGGCCAATGCCACAGAGAGCAGCTGTGGGCACATCTGTCTTGTGCTCAGGACACGTGAGAAAGGGAGAGCAGGCGGCAGGCCCCTTTGTTTTTTTGGCAAGGATGAGTGCTAGATTCTTGCCTCATTTATTTCTGTTCTTCCCCCTAAGCTTGTAGCAGAAACAAGGGCACTGTGTGGGCAGGGAGGCCTAGAGCATGTGTCCTCTGAGGCTAATTCCCTCCATCCTCCCTTTAGCTTGGCCAGCTCCTAGTGCCAGTCAACTAAGTAAATGATCTGACAGTGTGTAGGCAGTGTGTATCCTCAGCAGTCGGTCCCATAACCCCACTTTTGGGGGAGACTCGGGGGTCTTGCTTGTTTGCAAATATGCAATCTGTGATTTTTGATGTGACAAGTTGTCTGAACAAAAGACAATGTTAAAAACAACATTCGTCTCTGTGATATTTTTCTGCAATGGCACAGTAGTCTCTGCCATCTGTCACTTATACCTCAGGGCCTGGAATCAGGGGAAAGCCAAGAGCTCAGTGAGATGCAGCACCTGCTCTGTACATAGAAGATCCCAGGTCCAGTCCCTGATGTTACCAGGTAAGACTGGGAAAGATCCCTTCCTTCAACCCTACAAAGTCATTGCCAGTTGACATAGATCAGTTTAGATATTTAGAGCCAAGACTTGCCATAATTCCTCTGCCATGCTAGCTAAAGCTAGTGGGATTTGTAGTCCAGAGCATCTAGAGGGTATTCCAGTGGTGACATTGACAGTTACCTGTAGATGTCCAGAGTTTTGGTGTCACCTTGAATAGGAAGTCAGATTTTTAAGAAATGAAACTTCACAGCAGGAAGACTGTTTTTAAAGCTTAACTGCCTTTAATATGGGGCTGTGGGGCTGTAAACCTATACTTGCTGACCTAGGAATAATTAGACTCAGTGAAGCTTCTGAGGATGTGCATATCAGATTGTTTTATTTGTTATATTTTGATCCTGCCGTTCCACTTTAAAGAAGTGCTCTGGGTCTCAAATATACATAGCTGAAAAGAGGTTAAACAAGGTAATCATTAAAGTCATAATCAAAACATTAAATAGTTTAATGAACATATTGAAGAGTGTCATATTCACTATTAAAAGTAGTAATGGTCAAAACGAAGTACAGCTATGTAGGACGATCCAGGAGAAAGCTCTCCACATGAGAGCCTCTACATCCATGAGAGCCTCTACAAAAGCATAACGGGCTCTATACATACTTAATCTCTGCCTCCTAGTTTAGTGCTTTAAATTTTTCTGCCAACCATGCAGTTGGCAGAAAAATATATTAGGCATCTTTATTCTGATTTTACTTTGCTGTTGCTAAACACATAAGCCTTTGTCCAAAGCCCGTCAGATGCTCTGAAGTTCAGATGGTAGACATTGGCTTCCCAATTTGCGGTTGGTGTTGTGAACAGCTCTCCTTGGGTTGCCTGTAAAGCTACCAAATGCAGAACTGAATCAGGGTTCTGTTGCTATTTTTTCTAATCTGTCCTTTTTTGGGGACTTAAGTCACTACTGCATTTTTAATGAACAGACTCTCCAGCAGGGAGGGAAGAGGAAGCGATGACTCTGCCAAAGCAGTGTCTTCAAGCTGCTTTATATAATTTGAAGCTACTGGTAATCTGAAAGAGTGTGGTGGCTCCGTGGCTGCTTTGTTTGCTCCAATAATAGCTTTGCTGAGTTAAGTGGAAGAGGAATGTTTCCCTACTAGGTCATTGGTTCAAGATCAGCATCACGCTTTGAAAACGTCTCCATCTTATGTGTTTTCTTTTGCTATTGTTGGGTCTCTGCATCATATTGAAAAGTAATGACTAAGTACATGTGGGTCTCCTAAACGGCAGGAGTCAACCAGATTTTACCAACCTGGGAGTTTGCGGTTAAGTCATATTTTGAACTATTGCACAAAGACTTGAAATGTCAACTGATCTTTTCTTTGTCTGTACAGGTGGCCTTCATTAATGAAATACTATAATCAGGTTGATAACGTAAATTGGCTGGACGAATACAAAGAGCGGCACAAAGCTGGTTTGGAAGCCCGAAGAATTGTAGCATCCTTCTCCAAAAGGTTCTTCTCGGAGCATGTAAGCTATTTTTTTAAAATTTGGAAAGGAACTCTATGGTCTCTGGCTGCCCCACAGCTCTCCTTTTCTTGTCTTCCTCTGCCTGTTCCTTTAAAGCTTGGGTGTGCAACGCTCTCCAAATAGTGTTGCACTGCATCTTCCAGCATCCCTCGCCATTTTCAGCAACAGTGAGGAATATTGAGTGTAGTCCATTAGTATCTGAAGGACTGCACTTTCCCCATCCCTTGCTTGAATACCTCAGTGCTCTTTCTTGCTTCTAGTTGCAGATGGGGAAAATTATTCAGAGTTCTTCGCACCGTTGAGTACTATTCATCAAAATATATTTCTGAGATTTAACAAATTTGAAAAATGATATATAATTGTATAAGATGGGCTCCAGTATAGTTGGCAGCTTGATTAGTGCCATGTATGTTTATACACTTTGTTCCTGTAATTAAGTTAATACATTATATAAATCTAAAACATATTGTCTTTGTGTGGCAGACAACCCCCAATGTGTGAGAGTATATTTGGTATATTTGGATATAAATTACTGTGTTTATAACGCAAATCATTCCTGGTATTAAGGGGAACATTTATTCTTAGAAGCAACCTGCGATGAAGATAATCAATTCTGGCATTTGCTGTTACTTTTTGAAATAATTTTGATATACATGTGTTTGAAAATGTTCCAGTCTATTATGAAAAATTCCTTAGCCGTGCTGGTAATATTGCAATCTTTTGCTAGGTACCCTGTGATGGCTTCAGTGATATTGAAACTCTTGGATGCCCAAGCCGCTTCTTCGAAGATGAGCTGATGTCCATCCTTAATATGGAAGGAAGGTAAGGATTAATCTAAATGGCTAGACTCAAGGAGGAGGGATATTTATTTTCTGAAATATTCAGTGGGTGCGAAAGACCCAAATTCTGTCTGCTATATTCAATCAGCGGAATTAAAGTATATTTCTACTAAGGTTGCAACCTTTTAATTCATCACATTTGTGGGACACAGTGTGATCAAGGTAATCTAATGAGCACCATGGCTACAGATGTGAAGGCCTGGTGAGAAAAACCTTGAAAACCTACACACACAGCCCCCCCCCCAAAAAAAAAGGGTAAATAGAAAAATTACAAATAATACATTTAGGGCAAGTTGTTCATATAGTTAGCTTTTCAGTGGGCAGACTGACAGTATGTGAGCTAGCAGCAGACTTAGGTCATCATTTAGCTGGCAGCAAACACTACTTCTTTCTCAATGAATGGGGAACCAATTTCTCTGCTCTTCCCTTTCAGAGGGATTTCTGACTGGAGTTTGAGCTATATGTAAAAGTTAGACGTGGTGCCCATAAAGAAAACCAGGCTGTATAGTATTTTGCTATTTTGTAGCTCCTAAGCTTTTTTTAAATTGATATTTCCTCACCTCTTAAAAATGCTACTCAGCATGATCTCTATATTGTGTTCTATATCAGGGGTATCTAACGTTTTGCCTTCCCTAGGCCACATTGGATGAAGAAGAATTGCCCTGGGCCACACACAAAATACAATAATACTAAGGATAGCTGATGAGAAAAACAAAAAAGGTCCATGCATAATTTTTGTATTATCTGCCACCACAGATAAGCCAAAAAAAGTCCTCACATAATGATCCTAGTTATTTGCCAACCAGTTCAGAGGAGATTCTCAAGCAGGTTTTTGTCTCTGAACTGCTTGTGATTATGTGAATTACAGATAATACTTCAATCTTTGTGGATGTAACATCCTCTGATTGTTCCATTCCATTCTGTTGTCTCCAAAATTTATGCATGAGAACCATGCAGTGGAGTTACCCAAAAAACCCACTAAAAATCTCATAATGTTTTCAGTAAGTTCATGATTTTGTGTTGGGCTGCATTCATAGGCACCCTGGGCCATGAGTTGGACAAGCGTGGGCTATATGGTCTGATTAGACCTCAAAAAAGCTACGTTATTGGACTGTGGATCCAAACCTCTGCCTCCTCCCACATAATATACTACATTTTATGTAATACTATGTGATAGATTGACTTTTCCTCCCTCTTATTATGCTCATGCAGTTTTTTATAGCAAGTAGTACCTCGTTTTTACTGCATGGTGATATCATCCTCTGTCATGATCTGACTGTATATGTATATGTAGAAAAATATGTATGAATGATGGTGTAATTTGAACGCCATAATAGGTCTGTGTACACTTCATGAGCTTTGTAAATAAAATGGTTTTTTTCAGGACACACATTTCTTTCTAATTAATAAAAATAACCTAAGCTGTTTTAATAAGATGCTGCATTGTCGTTTGGGTGCCTCATTGTCCTTCCTGGGCTATGCTTCATGGCTCTCTTATAAACTCTAGACCTTCTCTTTGTGTTATTGTTCTACTGCTTTTCATTTTCGGGAAATCTTCATTCACCACAATGGTGCTTTACCTTTGTTCTGCAGGAAAGGCCTAACATGGAAGTACTATGCAAAGAAGATCCTGTACTTCCTGCGGCAGCAAAACATTTTAAGAAAACTAAAGGCTTATCTTCAACACCCAGCTGAGGAGCAGTCCTTTTTGGAAGGTTAGTTCAAGGCCTGTAGGGAGTAATATGTAATCATCTTTTTGTCACGTAAAATCTGTGAGTCTTATAAAGATGTGTCATGAATACTTTTTGAACCCTAAAAATGTTCTTTAATCCTTTTTCAGTAGGACAGTATATCAGGCACTTTCAGAGAAAGAAGTAGACACAAAGACACCAGTACCGGGACTGTGGCGCAGCAGGCTGAGTGTCAGCTGCATTAAGATCACTTCTGACCAAAAGGTTATGAGTTCCAAGCCAGCCCGGGCCAATTGTGTAGCTTGTGTCGACCTTTGCAACCTGAAAGACAGTTGCATCTGTCAAGTAGGAAAATTAGGTACCACCTATGTGTGGGGAGGCTAATCTAACTAATTTACAAGGCCATAAAAAAGACTCCAGCAAAGCATGCGGGGAATGCGGAAGTGTCGCAGAGCTCTCCTGGCGGCCAGAAAAGTTAAATAGCCTCTGACTGTCTGTCTATATCTGTTGAGTGTCTTTGGCATTGAATGTTTGCCATGTATGTGTGCATTGTAATCCGCCCTGAGTCCCCTACGGGGTGAGAAAGGCAGAATATAAATATTGTAAATAAATAAATAAGTAAATAATACCAGATTTTATAATAGCAATATTGGTTACACAGATAAAGGGAAACATCACATATACTCCAACATTCACTCACATGCATTCATCATTCATACTCACCATCCCCTCTCTATTCGGTTGATCAGGCTAGTTGGGAGGAAGGAGGTGAGTGGACAGACGCCGCTCTCCTGCAGATCTGGCACAGAGGCAAAAAGGGTCTCGTATAGATTAGTTATCCGTTATTTTGTTGTTTAGATAACCTCTATCATTCAGCTCAGACCTGCTGGAGTTCAGGAACAGATAGGTTGTTTTAACTTCTTTAACTTAAACATGTGTTGTTTGCACCCAAAGTTCTTGGTTTTCATCATCTTTCTTGCCACAGTTCATAAAATTCTTCACACAACAGGGACTGTTGTGTTACATTTTATGTATTTTAATAGGTTTTGATATAAGGAGAAGAAGAAGAGGAAATAGTAGTACTCGTAGTAAAGGTAAAGCTTTCCCCTGACATTAAGTCTAGTTGTGTCCGACCCCGGGGGGGGGGGGGGGCTCATCTCTATTTCTAAGCTAAATAGCCGGCATTGTCCATAGACATCTCCAAGGTCATGTGGCCAGCATGACTGCATGAAGTGACATTGCCTTCCCACAGAAGCGGTACTTATTGTTCGACTCACATTTGCATGTTTCCAAACTGCTAGATTGGCAGAAGCTGGGGCTAACAGCGGTAGCTTACCCCGTTCCCTGGATTCAAACCACCAACCTTTCAGTCAGCAAGTTCAGCAGCTCAGTGGTTTAACCCACTGCGCCACTAGGGGGCCCAGTAGTAGTAAATTATTTTAACTATGGGGATTTGTCAAATCAGTACGTTCCACTGATTTAATTATTCTACTCCAATTGATCTAACAACTGGACTTAGGTCAGACTGTCTTCTAAGGGACTGGATGGAAAGAATAAAATGTATAACATTAATCAATAAATAACACACGTCAAGAGAATAGTTTTAAAGATTTGATTACAAGCTTGGACTATGTGATTTTTAATAGTTGTTTTAATGATTATATGTTTTTAATTATTCTATGAATATATATGTTATTTTACTGTATGTATGTTTTTATGGCAAATTGCTGTTTATCTTTGAGACCACTCTGAGTCTCCTTCAGGGTGAGAAGGGTGGCATACAAATGTAGTAAATAAAAAAATAATAAATATTTCTGGCCTTGAAGCTTTATAAAAGGCAGACTTGTGTTCGGGCTTTCTTCTGACCTCTCTAGGAGCAGTCTTGGTTGACCAGTATTGTAACCCGCTATTGGACATTTGCCTGGAGACTGTTCAGGCCCAAGTTGATGATATCGCTGCTAAAGTTCGTAAATACTTGAAATCCAAAAACACCAGACATCCAAGCGTGACCTCCAAAGCAGGTATTGTAATGTTGTAGACTGCTTTCTTCTTATCAGCCTTTTCCATTGTGATTTTGCCACTCTTTGAGAGTAAAACAATGGGTGCTCCAGAGCCTATGTTGTTGTTTTTTTGGTGATGAAATTGTAGGCCTGATGAGGTGGGCAGGCAAATCAATCTCTGGCCACTATTGGCTGTATGGTTTTAATTGTAGAAAATAGGGAAACAGAAAGTCACAATAAAAAGAGAGAGATTTTTTAAAAAACAGGGAAAGGAAAAGAAGCAAGGTCTGAAAAGATGTGGGCCAGGTGATTTAGAGAAAGAAAGGAAGAAACTTTAATAATAATAATAATAATAATAATAATAATAATAATAATGAATTTATTGCCAATCTCTTCTTGTGGCTCGAGGCGGGGTACAACACAGTTAAATCCATCTATAAATTCACATATTAAAACATAGGTAAATGCAAGGCAGCTGGCAGTAATTGAAAAGAAAGTTAAAACATTACGTTACAGAAGTTAAGAAGAAAAGACATCATTCATATTGTTCAAACATGATTGTTATAGGTAAAAGATTTAAAATGTAATTTGAAAAGATAATGAAATAGTTAAAAGGAGTAAAGCAAACAAAAAAACAAAACCCAGTTGCACATACACTACAATTCCATACTTAAAATTGACAGTAGAAATGACTATTAAATAAAAATGTATTTGCCTGCCAGCAAAAAGAAAACTGTTAAGAGGGCCAGCTAGACCTTCCATAGAAGGGAATTCCATAGTCCGTAAGAAGCTACCTTCTGTTGAGACAAATCATTGTTTCTCCTAGCCAAAGGTAGGGAATCCGGCCCTTTGGATGTTTTTGGACTTCAGTTCCCAGCCAGAATAGCTAATGTTAAGGAAACTATAGTCCAAAACATGCAAAGGGACAGTGTTTCCCCAGATCTATCCAGATTCTGGGCCAAAGGGGATGACTCTCTTTCAGCCCATGGGCCAGATCCATCTCCAAAGACATTTTTGGGAACTTTAGTCCAGGGGTGTCAGAGACAAAAGTCTCTTCCAAAAAAGGTGGTGGCAGAAAATGGCAGCATATTTAGCTTAAAGCTCTTGCTTTGCAGTCTTAGAAGTGGCATATCAAACTTTTAAAAAAAAATATAGAGACGAAAAAACCCTACAAAAGCGGTGATATCCCATTGGCTGGAGAACTTGAGATTGAGATTATTGCAACCCTTTTTCATGCACAAAAGAAAAAATCCAGATGTTACTCTAAAAGGGAGAAATAGGAAAGTGCCTGCTTGCATTTGTTGATCCAGCACACTCTGTGTGTTTATAAAGATGTCTAAATGAGATTAGGGAGATGCGGTGTGTATGCAGCAAGAGTCTTTTTGCCATTATGATGAATGGCTGCATCATCAGAGGGCTAATAATAATAATAATAATAATAATAACAACAACAACAATTACTACTACTACTACTTTATTTTTATACCCCGCCACCATCTCCCTGAAGGGACTCGGGGCGGCTTACAAGGGGACAAGCCAGAGATACAGAGTAAAAACATACACAATAAAATAAAATGCGAACAAATTAAAATCACAACATCATAAAAACAGTTACAATCAAAAGTGCACATTTTTAAAAAAACCAGTATAATGGCTGAAAGATTAGGTGCTGAATGCTGAGGGATCAGAAAATGTGCAGTTGTTTCTATATAGAGCCCAGGGAAAGTGCAAAATACAATCCAATTCAGTTCGAGCTTAGCCTTGTTTTCCTCGCTCCTCCAGAGTTACCGCTGGGACATTGCAGTGTGGACAATCTCTTATTTAACTCTTCTTGCCCCATTTCAGGAGAAGCCTTGGTCATATCTCAGGTGGAGCTTCAGCGGCAGGTTCTGGATGCCATGAACTATGTCCTTTATGAGCAATTAAAATACAAAGGGAACGAGGTGGATTACTACAATTCTCTAAATTCATACATCCGCCAGGTAAAGTGAACCGCTCTTGAATAAATCAAACCAGAGGAGTGAGTGAAATAATCAAATTCTTTTTTCAATTTTCTGCACAAGTTTGGGCCACTGCCTTGAAGAGACAGACGCAGTGGTTTCCCTCAGATTTACCTGTGGCTATCTGAGGCCTTTTGTATTCCTCATTTCAAGAGCGACTCTTTGTACTGCAAAGCTGTACACTCAGGTGTCTCTTTAGAAAGATTTTTTTTTTGAAAACCAGAATTTCCATAACCTTTTGGAGAAAAATAGCATTCACAACCATTTCAAAATCATAACCTTTTGTAAAAGTATGATCTTCCAGAGAAGAGCCAAATAACTTGTAAAATCTTCTCTTCAGCAGTACATAACCACATGTACTTATGCAAAGCAATTTGGCTTTCAGCTGTTAGACTAATAACCTAGTTGTCCCTGATCTGTTAGGAACCGAGATTATGCCAATGCACAAAATCAGTAGAGTTTCAGAAGTGTTTTCTTCAGTTGCCCAAAAATGCATCTACTCTCCCGTAAAATATCTTGTTTCTCTATCATGCTCTTAAGAGACAAAAATAAAGTAAACTTTGTTAAAAGTAACATAGCTGGTTTACTCACAGCCTTAATGTATTCAGCATACAGTTACATTACTTGTCAATCCAGTTACAGATAGGTTTTGAATAACACGGCATATTTCTTTGAATCAGCAGCAACATCTTTACATTTTGAGAGTCTAATGGAGTCTGTCCTCTAAAATGGAGTCTGAGCTCTGAGCAGTCTCAGATCTAATCATGTGGTCTGCAGCCCCTCCCACAACCTCAAGAAAACATAGAGTAAAGGAAAAGCTGCACACCAAAACATACATATACAATACAGTAAACAAAACAGAAACATATTCAAACAAATTATTAGTGGAGACTTGAAGAAGGTTGCTATTTCCAACAAAAATATTTTATATTTCTATCCTTCCCTTTTTAAAGGTTTTGATCCACAGGACAGGAATCCCCATCAGTTTGTCAGTGCTTTATTTGACCATTGCCAAGCAGTTGGGTGTTCAGCTTGAGCCAGTCAACTTTCCAAGTCACTTCCTGCTCCGGTGGTGCCAAGGGACAAAAGGGTAAGCTTTTGAAGGGGCAAAGAGAGAGAGAGGCACCTGTTTCAAGGTGCAGGTGATGCATGGGGGGGGCTAAGCTTCCTATGTTGCCCATTTTCTGACAATGAAACAGTGATAAAGCCGTCTGTGTTGCAAAGGTGAAAGGGTTGCATTTGATCAGAACACCTTGTTACTTGTCATACCGGTCAGTCATACATTGGCCAGAATGTTATTATTTAGCTAGCAATCTAATAAGCATTTAGTGTACAATAATTGTGTCTGCCTCAGTGTATTTTTTGTCTTTTCATAAGTCTACCAAATGTGGTGAAATGTCTCTTCTTGCTTTCACATTGTTAACGTACATTCAGAGTTCCCTTATACATCCTGAACAGTTTCTTGGCTGTCACATACAAACAGTAGGTAGCACATGAACCTTTGATCATTCTCCTTTGGCAAATGTTACAAGGATGCCTGGAGGAGATACTAACCTTGCTTCATTTTCAATGTCAAATCAAAACATTACATTCTTTTTTACCCAACCTTCTTATGGTTTAAAGATACTCTTTGGAGTTAATCAATTTGGTTTTTTGTTTTTTGTTGAATCATTTTACACTATTTGTTTTTGTTTTGTTTTTGTAGCTTTCTCCTCATCCCGTGGTACTTGTCCTTGTATAAGGATGTTGTGCGTTGGGGGATGAAGGGTTGGTTATTAATTTTAAAAATAAATGGTAGCTACATCTGATTGAAAATAAAAATTTGGGCAATCAGTCCATCTTTGCAGACAGACAGGGGAACTCTTTTGCTCAGTGGTAAAGCCTCTGATTTGCACCCAGGGTCTCCAATATCTTTCAGAGGATTGGAAAGATCCCTATATGGAACCCTAGAGAGTTACTGTGAATGAATGTATATTGTACAGGGTGAGGCAGCATAACTTCCTTTTTTCAAAACTTTAATAAAACCCATTGTATGAATCAGAATTTTTTTTATAATGTAGGTGCATACCTAAAGTTTTGTTTTATGTAGTTTTGAAGATCAAATTAGGTAGTTGACGTCCCCCATTCTCCATTCTCCATACACTGATAAACCGATTTCTGGCGTTTGTCATGACTCTTGCCAGCATAGCAGGCGTTATGTTGGCAATTTTTTCCTGGATGTTGGTCTTCAAATCTTGTAGGGTCCTTGGACGGTTCACATAAACATGGGATTTCAAAAAACCTCATAGAAAAAAATCACAAGGGGCCAAATCTGGAGAGCGGGCCGGCCTCTCCAAATCTGCTCGAAAAGTAGGCCTCAAAAGCAAAAGCACGCTTCTCACTGTTCCAACACATGAAGGCGACTAAACTGTGTCAGGACAAAACTTTATATTTCCGCCTCTCGAACGAGACCACTAGTGCTCCACTACGTCTTCAACCGACTGAATGGCGCGCATTTAAAAAAAAGAAGTTATGTTGCCTCACCCTGTATATAGAGATTGCTAGACCAGTGGCTCTGCTTAAAGAAAGAACTGTTCCTGATGTTTCCTTGAGTTTCTCCTTTCAACCCATGCAAAATATGCAGTTGTTCTCTGTGTCCATCAAGAACTACCTTTTTATCTCCCAACCTGACCATATTAACATGTATAACTGTGTGCATCAGGGCCATGTCAAGGCACACACAAACCCTGCCATGAAAACAAGTTCTCATTGTAAACATGCAAAAGAAATACCTTGTTACATCTAGGACAAGAGCCGCATTATGCTGGGTAAAATGGCCTTCAGCTTGCCTTTACTTGACATTTTATGCAGAAGCACAAACATCTTTGACTACGTTTACATTGATGCTTTTGGGAAAGGAAAGCAGCTGACAGTGAAGGAGTGTGAGTACTTGATTGGACACCATGTCACGGAAGAATTTTATGGTGTGGCCACAGCTAAGGAAGTTTTACAGCGAATGGTGGGCAACCTGTTAAACATTGGAAAGCGGTAAGAATCTAGTGCAGTATTGTGTGAAAACTTCTCTTTCAATAAGATCTCCAAACTAGAGTTTGGTGAAGATATCCTGCAGCAGCTAAGACTTTGAGTTATGAACCCAATGATCTAAGGGAGAATAGTTCTGCTCAGAGGTGAATCAGTGATGTATTTATTCAATAATATATTAAATATTTATTCCCTGCCCTATGGGATCTAAATACATTAAGAACATCAGGTCCTGACTAATCTGGAAACTTAAGCAACTTGAATAGAAGACTACTAACAAATATCTGGTGTTGTAGGCTATATTTGAGAGGAAGGAACTGGGTACAGTTCTCTGAGTACAGTATTTATTTCTTGCCCAAGAAACCCCTATGAAATTCATGGGATTGTCATAGGTCAATGGGCAACGTGAAGGCTTTGCACATACACACACACACATACGTATATTTGAGGATCTCAGGACATCATATAATGACAACAGTTTAAAATAATAGGAATAATTTAAATGGATTCAAAGCATATGATACCATTTAATACTTAAAAGAAGACACTTTAAACCAGTTTTGGACAAAATAAATAGGTTTTAGTAAAAGGGCATGCTTTTATTTGAAAGAGGGACCTTCGAGGCGTTCTTTCGGCCTCAGTTCCGAAAGAGCCATCTGTGGAGAGAGGTCGCAATCCATTTAGGGGGTTCAATCAATCAATCAAAACTTTGTTACAGTCCAAAGACCCAAGTGGCTCAGTGGTAAAAGGTGCACAAAGTGCAGACAGAGTAATAAACTGATTAAAACATAGGACGACACGCTATACAAGGTGCATATGAACAAGAGTGAGAACACTGCAAATAAATGCAAGTCAGGTTTCAGCCTGGGTCTAATACAGGATTTAGGGGGTTCAGATACCTTCACCAGTACCAGACTTGGTTGAAGAGCTGGTCTGTGCAATTTGCTCATTTGTGACAAGGAATTCTGACTTCTGAATGTACTCAGTGTAAAAAACACAGAAGAAATTACGATTATGATTATTATTTTATTACCTGTCTCTCCTTGCAGCTCGAGGCTAAGTACAGTTCTAGGCAACACATTTTAAGTATGCCATTTACAAACTGAAGCATTTCAGAGGAGGGAAACAAGAATGCCATGTCCTATGAGAAAGGATGATTTATCTTTAGCCTGAAGAAGAGAACATTGAGAGAAGACTAATAGCTGAAGGGTTGGAAGATGGAATAGTTTTGTTTTCTGAAGAAACAGTGGGTGGCTAATGGAGGAAAGAGATTTTAGCTAAATGTGAAGAGATTCTTCCTGAAGTCAAGAGCTGGAGGTGGTGGGATCTCCTTTTCTATTTCTGCAAAGAGTTAGTGTCCCATCTGTCAATGGTGCTCTGGCTCTCCTAGCACTCTACCTTGACTTTGCTTCTTCCGTGTCTGATTCTGTGAATCAGGTGCCAGAGTTGTGGCCCTTCAGACATTTGGGCTTCCAACTCCCAGAAGCCCTAGCCAGCTTGTCCAGTGGCCAGGAATTCTGGGAGCTGATTTCCAAAACACCTGGAGAGCTATGTGTTTGACGCCACTGCTGTGAATGGTATGATATGATAAAATATATATTAGTGGATGTGCTGCAATATACAAGCAGTGTGGTCTCTTGTTCTGGATAGAATTTCATTCTCTTTGCAGATTAGTACTGCTTTTGAGAGGCCAGGTATATACAAACACACCACAAACCCCAGTTGCAAGAACATCAAGTAGTGTCACCTTTGCTTCATTAACATTCTTGGGTGGAGTGTCCCCTACTTGAGGTTTGTAAATCTTCAACCTGGTCCTGGCCATTCACATGGATTAAGCACTCTTGTTTGGGGGCCATGCTTCAAAAGGAATCAAAATGTGAGAAAAGCAGTGTTCTTTCTGGTGCAGCAGGGACACTCTTCTGTAATTATAGTTTGTTAATTTACTGATCTATGTGTATCACAGAGACCATGAAGAAAGAGAAGTTGATTGCCTATTGCTGTGGTTTCTTTCATTATTTAAATTTAGTTATTTAAATGCTTCTTTGAGTGGTCATTAGTGAACTCAACAGCCTATTTATTTATTTATTTTATTTATTTACTACATTTTTATACCGTTCTTCTCAGCCCTCAGGGCGACTCAGAGCGGTTCACAACCACAATACAATACATAAAACATGATAAAAACAGTTAAGAAGCATTTAAAAGATCCAGTCTCGTCATCCAATTGTTCCATATTTCTATATTAGTTACACTGGCTATTCAAATGCCTGCTCGAACAACCAGGTCTTCAATTTCCTCCGAAATGCTAACAGGGAGGGGGCCGATCTAATTTCTGTGGGAAGGGTGTTCCACAGCCGAGGGGCCACCACTGAGAAGGCCCTGTCTCTCGTCCCCGCCAACCGTACTTGTGATGCAGGTGGGACCGAGAGCAGGGCCTCCCCAGATGATCTTAACATCCTAGCTGGTTCATAGGAGGAGATACGTTCGGACAGGTAAGTTGGGCCAGAACCATTTAGGGCTTTATAGGCTAAGGCCAGCACTTTGAATTGTGCCCGGTAGCAAACTGGCAGCCAGTGGAGCTGGTGCAACAGAGGAGTTGTATGCTCCCTGAGTGCTGCTCCTGTTAGTAACCTGGCTGCCGAGCATTGGACCATTTGAAGCTTCAAAGGCAACCCCATGTAGAGAGCGTTGCAGTAGTCTATATGGGATGTAACCAGAGCATGGACTACTGTGGCCAAGTCAGACTTCCCAAGGTACGGGCGCAGCTGGCGCACAAGTTTTAACTGTGCAAATGCTCCTCTGGGCAGGATGTTCAGGAGGCAATGTTCAGTTTTTCTGCCATATTGGACTAGCAACTGATAGGCACCTGGATTATGCAGGAAGTAACTAAAGCTTCAATCAGAACCACTGGCAACAGATGTGAAACGTTTCCATTGAGTTCACAGATGACTACGCAAAAAAAAAAAACAGTTGCGCATAAGTAATCTTGTTTCTAATGAAGTTGCCTATATCTATGAAAGCTTAAGATACATATGTCTTTCTTCGGTAAATCTCAAAAGTGCTACAATATCCTGTTCACCTGTCTGTCTCTGGTGTCTTAGGACCTACCTGACAATGCATTCTTGACTTGACTATTTCTCTTTGCTAGGGAAAGCACTGATCAGTCCTACCAACTCCTAAGAGACTCATTGGATTTGTACCTGGCCATGTATCCAGACAATGTGCAACATCTAATGCTCCAAGCTAGATTGTACTTCCACTTGGGAATCTGGCCAGAAAAGGTAGTTAAATGTGAATGTCTTCCTTGATATAATGTACGATAATGAATGGGTGACCATAAGCAAATGTGGTTTCCATAAAGAATTGTTGTTCCGTTGTAACTTCCATTTTCTGTGAGAAACTGAAGTCATCCTGCCCACAATGTGCCTTCCAGAACCTTAAGTTTGACAAGTTCAGTTTTCTGGACCTTCAGCAAGAGCTGTTGGTTTGGTATGAGGGATGGGGCCTTTTAAATGGTGGCCCCTATTTCTGGAATGCCCTCCAAAGGGAAAAAACTTGGCCAGTTACCAAGCTCTGAAAATATTTTAATTCAATCCTATTTTAGATGATTGGGGGTGCTCTCTGGAAAGGTTCTAACTTCTACCATTTGATTTTTTTAATTTCTTGCTGCCAGGTTTTTTTATTTATTTGATTTTCTGTTTTTATGTTGCTTCTGTGTGATCTTACAGTCTTTTAATATTTAAACCTAGCTCTTTTTATGCAACCTTTCAATGTTTGTCTGGTTATTTCAGCAACTTGGGAGGATAATTTGTCTTGACAGGCAGTCTAAAATGTTACATAAAATAAAAATAAAATTAACAGACCCATTTCCACACACCAACATGTGGTGACAAGCTTGTTCTTTTAGTAGGCTAGACCTTTTGCAGGTCAAGGAAAAAATGGCTTGGACCAAAAATAAAATCATGATATGAATCACTTAAGCTTGTCTGAAAACTTCTACTCTGTATTTTCGAAGGCTTTTCTGGCCGGAATCACAGGGTTGTTGTAGGTTTTTTTGGGCTATATGGCCATGTTCTAGAAGCATTCTCTCCTGACTTCTCATCTGCCTCTATGGCAAGCATCCTCAGAGGTGGTGAGGACCTCACAACCTCTGAGGATGCTTGCCATAGATGCAGGTGAAATGTCAGGAGAGAATGCTCCTAGAACATGGCCATATAGCCCGAAAAACCTACAACAACCCAACATCTACTCTACTGAACAACAGAAAAGATTGTCTCAAAAGAAAGGGAAGAAATAATCCTGGCATATACCATAACCTTAGATGTTGTGTTCATTAAATGCGTTGCCCGACTTACCGGGCGAGGCCTGTTGAGGCAGGGGTGCTCTCCTGCCAGCCATCATGGAGGCAGTGGGCTTCTTCTCCCCAGAAGCCCTCTGCGCCCTGGGAATTTTTCCCACCAGTTGGCCGGCTGGCCAACCGGCGGCCAGCCCTACCCTCGGATTGGCTAGGGGCGGCCTCCTCCCTCATCCAGCAGCAATGATAGGGCTGCCCTGGGGTGCTTGCAGGCTTTTGTGTCTGTCCCAGTCTCCGGGGGCCTTTTGGCTTTTTGCACCAGTCTTTGGTTGTTGGTTGCAGGCAACCAGGGTTGGCAGCAAGGGGAGTGAGGGCCTTATTGTGGTGTGTGGCATGGGCCCTGGATCTGGCTTCCTCCCCCCACCCCCAATGGAAAGGGGGAAGGTCCAGTAGTTCCCAGGGGGTGCCAAGTAACGCAGCCCAGGATTGTGCCGGTGGCACCCTGACATGTATAGCAGTATCGCTCAGCAGCGGGCTCAACCAATCATGATCCTGAACCCATGCCTGGCTGCCAACCCTTCAGTTCCTGTAATTAATAAACAAGTTGTGGCCATTTTTCTTCCCAACTCAGTGTTTGTGTCTTCTTTGGTTCTGGTGGCGGGAGGGGTGTCTCCCATCCACACACAAAATATATTAAAATCTTTTTAGAGAACAGCAAAGGTAACAACTGCTTGGCTATTATATGCAGAATGGTGAAAACAACCCAAAATGAGACAGTTGGATTATTAAAATGTAAGATTGTGTAGTAATGGCAAAATTAATGCATTATTTAAGAACTGGATATGAATGTTGATAATTTGATTTTATTTATACACACAACCTATGTTTACTATTTTGAACTTCAAATGTTCTGTTTCCCACGTTTTCAACAGTGTTTTGATTTAATCAGTAATTTGTGGGTTAGAAACATGAAACCTGGAAGATTGGGATTTTTATCCCTTAGTTTGATGAAGAGCTGCTATGATTTTCCTCTCATTTTTGGGAGATTCTGGGAAATGGTAGCAGCAGTGAGTGCATCTCACCTAGAGATATCCTCAGGCCTGCTTCAGTTGTGAGTTTTACAGCTCACTGTCTTCCCTTCCCAAGGTCCTGGACATTCTGCAGCACATTCAAGCCCTGGACCCCTCCCAGCACGGAGCAGTGGGTTATCTAGTTCAACATACGCTGGAACATATCGAGCGGCGGAAAGAGGAGACTGGACCTGAGGTGAAACTCCACTCGGAGGAGAAACACAAGGACATCTGCTATTCTGTCGGCATGATTATGAAACACAAGAGGTGAATCTGCACCATTTTTCCTAAATGTTTCCTGATCAGTTTTGCTTGGCACTAGATGAGACCACAATATTAGATGATTACTTTAATGGATCCAGCTACCAAAGATGCGACTATCACGAAGACATCTTTCATATTAACTGGTGTCTTCTCAAAGCAAACAGTCATATTATTTGTGTCAAATTAAATAATTTTTGTAACTTGCAATTCTTTTTGAGACCCAGTCAGCTCCAGTGATATTCTGTTATTTTTATTTGTTGCATTCATTGACATTCTCAGACAGAGTCCCTCAATCCCTCACAAAAAGTTACTTTTGATCAGCTTTTTAGAATTGTGTGACCTGTTTCTCTGTTTGTTTGAATGTAGATATGGCTATAATTGTGTGATATATGGTTGGGATCCATCGTGCATGATGGGCCATGAATGGATCCGCAACATGAATGTCCATAGCTTGCCTCTGGGGGCTCACCAGCCATTCTACAATGTATTGGTGGAGGATGGGTCTTGTCGATACGCTGCCCAAGGTAGGCAAGGGGTCCGTTTTGCTATACCTCTTCAGGGAAATATTCTTCTGCAATGCATTATCCTCCAGATGTGTTGAATTACAACTCCCATCTCTGCCCTGTCGCTATGATGGATGGAACTGATGGGAGTTCTAGTGCAAACCATCTGGCGGGATCCATACAGAATAAAACTGGTATATGATAAGAAAACTCAGATTTACCATGGATACTAGTTAAACCATGTACCTATTTGCACTAAGCTATTGTCAGAAGCTACTAAGACTTTCAAATTGAGAGCCCGTGGACTTGTATGCAGGTGGCTTGTGTAATGAGTCATGGTACTACAGCTTGGAATAGCTGTCTATGTGGTCCTTCCAAACTCTGATATGACCCGGGTCATCCATACTGGCCAGCTGCTTATCATCCTTCATACTACGTCTGAATTGTCAGGGCATCCTAAAATCCTATTTGCCGACCTCCCACAGACATCTAGTTGGCCCCTATAGGAATGTCATGCTGAGTTTCATAGCCCTTTGGTCTGGTCCACCACAGCTCTTTCAGCTTTTGATGCTGATCATGACAAAAACTGCTTGACAAAATGCTTGACAATAACTGAGTCCCCCTGTGGCGGTTGAGAAAGGCGGGGTACAAATAATTGAAATAAATAAATAAATAGTTGGGGGACACATAATTGTAAAAATACTAGTTGCCTGTCTCCTGAGTGGAACGAGAGTAAGATGATACTGTAATTTGTAAGTTTAAAATGCTTTTATATGGAATGCTTGGAAGCAGTCCCTTTTTCCACTAGAGGGGGCTCTAAATTATAATGAAAATGGTTGGCAGATTCCTTTTTTCTTTTCAAATCTGCTACCCATCAGATGTGCTTCTGAGACACATTGTCTAGAAATCCACTCTCAGAGGCACCCAGCACAGCTTGAAAACAGGCCATGCTGACACTAGAGGAAACTTGTGTTGCAGAATGGGGGGAGGAGAAGGGCACCCAGCAAAAGGAAGAGGAATGGTACAGTTTGCACCATTATCGACTTAAACTGGCATGTGTTGGCAGTCACCTTTGGTAATTAATGGCCAGGTACAGCACCCATCCACACACACACATATATATGTAGTGATATTTACAACAAAATGCAAATATGTGGCTTATGAACTCCTCTGAGATGTTATATAAATTGTATAGATCATACAAATGATACAGCATAAACTGTCACTATAATGAACATGAAACTATTGAAGCCAACAAGAAAATCAGGATAAAACCAACTTGGGGAGGATAACTATTAGTTATTATTATCAAAGATCTAAAATATATATACAATAATATAATTAACATGTAATACACAGAAAATACAGAGGTAAAAAGATACAGATAAAAGTTCACATAACTTAAATATTACAAAGTTAAACTACGATTAAACATTCATATGAAAAACACATCTATTAGTTTAAGACATGCAAAGATGTGTACATGCCTGTGTGATTCTAGTGTGAATGAATGAATGATTTATTGTACCACCCATAGGCCATGACATCACATAATTGTACCTTTAAAAGTACAAAACAATAAGCACAATATGCACTTTCCAATATAAATATTAAAACTTATTCCATATACTGGCTCTTTAAAATTATAGTAGCAGTGACATGATAACAATAACAAATGTTTGATTTGTACCATCTCAAACTCTCTCCATTTTCATTTCTAGCCTCCGCTGTGGACTTTACTAATTTAGCTCGGATTTTTTGGGCTGCGACTGCAAATGTGGCAACCTTTAATGTTATATTTTTGCAATGATCTGCTAACAGGTCACAGATAACTGCTGACTGTTGCCATTGTTTCAAGGGTCATTATACAAAGTTCAGTGTAACAGATAGTGTATTAGATCCTCTTTCCCCGGACCCACAAATACAAAGTCGTTGAGCATGAGGGATCCCTCTATATCTTCCCTCTAGCCAGCCTGATGGCATTTTTTGAACGCGCAGGGCTGTTAATGCTTTTCTAAGGGCTACAGACATTAAGTTTTGAAGATATTGTTGACAATATTTGTCATTCTTAAACAGAGGATACCAAGAGTTGAAACCCTGCTGTTTACTAGTCCACAAGTTGTCAGTTGTATCCATCTCAAAGATTTTGTCTCCAATTGCCTTCTTGTTCAACTGTATTAGGGTTCTTGTTGGCCCATCAAAATACTCTCTTTGGCAGCACATATACTAAAATTGGAACGATACAGAGAAGATTTGCATGTGATTCTAGTACTGAACTGACTGCGACAGTACCTTGACTACATTTGGAGTACTTTCACAGCTCAAGCTCAGAAAAAATATGCAACTCTAATGTGGGCATAAATATACATGCAGGCAGGCAGTCATGCAAACCCTGCTCAAAATGGTTCTCTCACACAAGGGTTTTCTTAGAAGAGGCAAAAGCTGAATCTTCATTATCTTCATTACATGTATTTTATATATTGTGAAGTACATTGGTCATTAATGTGCTCAGAAATTCAAGTTTCCAAGAGAAGCATGTCACTGGTCCTTACTGAATGCCCTCAGATCTGTATGACTGAATCCTCAAATAGTATCAGACAGAAACGTCCAGGCAGATCAGGGATATAACTCACTCTCCCTTCCTTTCCAGAGAACCTGGAGCATAATATGGAGCCTTACGAAATCCCTCACCCAGATATTGGCCGCTACTTCACAGAGTTTGCTGGCACTCATTATGTAGCAAACACAGAGTTGGAGATTCGATACCCTGAGGATTTGGAGTTGACATGCACAGCTGTCCAAAAGATATATGAGAAAAAAGAATGAACCTTTTATTTCTTTGCAGAGGAAAAAAAAGACTTCAAGCAGTAGTGGCGAAAATGGCATTGCAGGGAAGCAAGTGCTCTCTGATTTAACTAGGTAATCCTATTTTGCCCCTAAACTAACAACAACTAGTTTTCTAATGTAATCACTCACCTCTGGCTTGCCAATGCTAGCAAGATGATGTGGAATGCATGAATTCTGGAAGCAAGATGCTACTTGCCCGAAATGACCTCTTTGTACAAAGTAGCGGATCCTTTTTACCATCCCAGACCCTAGGAGCTCTTCTTCTTGACCTGAGGATGTTTTCCACAGCCTGGAAAGTGACGTGTTGACATTGTATGGACATGATCTGTCATATTGGCAATATTTTACAGGTTTGTGTTTTGTAAGTAATCAGTAAGGTCTCTTCTTTCCACACATCTTCTCTTTGCAACAGCCAGCAGTCTAGTGCCAAAGTTTGAGAATGATACTGAAACCCAGAGATCTGTAGGATTTACTAAGTTAATCTAATTCCCCACTTCAAGCAAACTGGAACCGCTGCATGAAAAGGGAAGAGTACATCAGTCTTCCTCTTTCCCAAAAGCTATTGAATTTCCATCCCACCACATACACATATACCTTGCCTATAATAAGGATGATCTAATGGTATATTTTTGGGCAGGTTGGATGAGAACAGCCATTCTTTTATTATATTTATCTTGAAGAAATGGTAGCTATAAGATTCTTCTTTCACCGCCTCCCTAAAGTGGAGTATCTGAGCGGTGACATTCAATACTATCAGTCTTGAAACCAAGTGCCCATCTTTTGCCAAGCAGAACTCCTGTTAGAGAAACACAGGTAGCATAACACCTGGCATTCCTGTTATTGAAGAATATGTGTTAAATACAGGCTTGCAGTCCAACCATCAGACCGGTTGCTAGACATGCAGGGGAAAACTGCTGATCACACCTCTCTCCCTTTCATTAGACATTATAAGCACTCGTTGCAAATCTATGAAACCTGTAATTTTAAAATTGGTGTCTCTGAGCAGTCAATACTTACGGGATTATTTACTTCGTGGAACGGCGGGTACGTTATAATTATATTGTGACTGATAAAATGATACACTTTTACAAACTTAGTTTTGAACATTTCTTTTACTAGCAACAAAACCACTATTTTCCAGGATCGCTGCTGATTTGCATGCTGTGTTTTCATAATGTTTAGCCAGCACATTTCTTTGTGGAATTCTCCATGTCTCCTGGGGGAACTTGAAATATCACAGCATAGTGGTTAAGGTATCAGACTACAGGTTATTCTGTGGCCTCTGTGAGCAAACGTCCTGTTTGGATCTAGACAGCCACTAGTGCTACCCTAAACTGCTTCTGAGGGCAGAAAGCAAAAGCAGCATAATCGGTAGTCATGAATGCCCTCACTGATCATAGGTATGTTTTCTCAAGGTTGGGGGGTCATGGCTGTCTTGGGGCAATTCAAATATTCACATTACTTGCCCATTGAGAGTTAATCAAAAGGCAAATGGGATGCAGACAGCTAATGCAGAGAAAGGTCCTGATATATATGGAAGAGGTTGAATTAGAAAGCTGAAATTCTATGCAGTTTGCACATCATGAATCCAGATCTTGCCTCTGCAAGATAAGGACTTCAGCAATATATAGCCTGAGCTTTCCCACCTCATTGGGAAAGATGCTGCTACTATGTTGTTAGGGAATAATGCATTAAACCTCAGCTTTTCCGTGTGCAACAGGGTCCTTCAAAGCATGGTAGAACATTCGCCCTTGGCCCTTGGCCTCCGTCTTCCTTAACCCTGGTTGTGTAACCTTTCTCCATGGCTGCATTACTTCCCTCTCTATACTGCTGGTAGTCAGATGTTTGTCTGTGGTCCCTCCCTCTTTTGAAGTTAGTCTTCGCATTTCTGTCTGTTTGCAAAGCACTTAGAAGTTGTCGTTCATATGAAAGGTGCTATATAAATATATGCATATAAATAATAATCAACTAATACGGTATATTAAAATAGAATTTGTACAGATAATCAAGATGCAGTTTTGATCACAAAATGACCTATTTTTTCAGGAGAGTTTCGAACGTGGGGTCCTCTCCTCCCCTCCCTTGTCACTTGATGGAATAAAATGTTGATCTTGTCATGTTATGGACTGTATATATGTGTGTGTGTGCGCACGTGCTTTAACTGTCTGGAACTACCATAGGTACTCATGTATAAGTCTAGGGCACTCTCATAGAAGGAGATGGTTTCATTTTTGAAAAAATGTACAGTATTGAGTTATCAACAAAAAGGGAGCTATCACTTTTTCAAAGTAGACCATCTCAGAGTAGATGGGAGTCAAAATGACCCAAAACACCAGAGAGAGCAGAGGAGGTAGGGGATTTCTTTAGCTTCTGATAGGTCAGACTATGGTCTCACCTTTTGCCACTCGACTCAGGGAAGAAGAAGGCTCCTTTTTTTATAAGAGTTAAAGTACAGTACTTAACATGACCCATAGATAAGTTTAACAAGTTTTGTGGGTTGCTTTTTAAACTAAAAATTCTATACTTATACATGAGTATATACAATTCATACTTTTTATCCAGTGAGTTTGACAGGACTACAAAAGGGGTTCCTGAAGCCAACCATAAATTTGTTTCATTTGGCATTTCCCTGTTTTTAAACTGAATGAGTTCTGTGCCTGCTGGGTAAATTGCCAATAATGACCCCTGCCGCAACACTTATTTTCAAATGCCCTTGTGACTGTGATTTACCAAACTATAGACCTGACACAACAGCCCAAGCCATAGTGAATTACAAGCCTTCAAAGTTCCTGTGGTCTAGCTGTCTTTCATAAAGCAGTTTTTGAATTCATGAATAATGATTAAGTTTCTTTAAAAAAAATAAAGCTGTTTACTCCCAACCTGTCCAACTTCTGTCCCTCTTACTTCAGGCCCCGTTTCCAACCTCTCACTGTGTTTATACTTTTTGCCAAACATTTCTTTCTGAGGCTTACAAAGGATGATAAGACTTTCAAAGAGAGCCATTAATTGATGCACAGCTTGATCCTAAGCTTGTTTATTTGAAAGCAAATCCCATTAAGTTCAATGGGTCTTAACTCCCAAGTAAGTCAACAGAGGATTGTGGTCTAAAAACCTTGAAACAGGCCTACTGGAAGAGAGCAAAGGCCCGAATAGTGCAACAGCTTTTTTTTTTTCAAATTTGTGTTTCAGTAGGACGTGAAATTCACAAGCTAATTTCTTGGTCAAAGGTGGAGGGATGACTGTATCTATCTCCGTATTCAATTTCAACAGGAGCCTGAACTACATGTCTTGGAAAACCTCACAAGCAAAGCACAGATGTTTAGGTGACTTCACTTAAGGGATAGTTTAATTGGTTAAATGTTAATGCCAGAACCTCAGTGGCCCTGCTGCCTTGAGCACTCACATTAAATATAAGATAACTCATAGTGAAATCTAAGCAAAGCATACTGATCCTTGGAAGGACGGTTATCTGAAGTGCTTTCTTTTTTATCCCCTTTTGCAGTTATGCACTAGGACAGGTATAGCCTTACAATTGTTTGTTCAACCTTGCCAGTTAGAATTACTCCTCAGAGCAACAGGTTTGGTAGATTAATGGACACATTCAGCAAAACTTGACATAATGGCAATAAATCTGGATCTCCAGCCTCGGCTAAAGTAGCAGGTAAGTGTTGCAACCAAAAGGATATTTTCATCCGCGGCCTCATTTCACTCCCTGCAGCCCAGCTTCCATGGTCTTGCACTGAGGATCAAATAGAAGGAGCATTGGGTGAACGGTGTTGACGGGAGAGAGAACATCAGGAGTCCATGGTAGTTCTTTGCAGATCACACACTCTTTGCTTGAGAAGTGACAACAAAATAGAGTTCAGGGGACTTTTTTACCACCCCACCTAACTGCAACTTCTTCTAAGATACTCAAGATAGTCTTCTATCCTCCCTCAAAAAGCAGGCATTTAATAGTCAGCCCTCAGGTAGTTGTTGCTACTGCCAAGGTCTGTTGTATTTCTAACAGTTTGGGCTTCTCTGAGAGATTGATAGTGGCTTCTTGTCCATATCCTCATGTATGGAAAAATAGAAAAATCCATATACAGATGGTACATCCATCAGTCAAATCATTTGTTGACTCATATTTGGCTATACAAAGCCCCCTATGTCTAGATGTCTCCCTTCCCATTGATGCTGGAAAGGAGCTTTTGACCTTTTTTTACATAGGTAGATCACTAGAGATAAGTCCTGCCTGTTTCATTTATCAAACACTGTGTAGAATTGTTGGAGTTCTCCCTGTGAAAGTGCATAGAAATATTTTCTGCACAGAACATGCTGTCTCCTGAGCAAAACATGTCAAATTTTGTGAGTTCCAAATCGCAGATAGGCTTCAAAAACATAGATGATTCTCAAATAACTCAATCCTTTTTAAAAACGCCATGAGGGAAGAATCCCTATTATACATTTCCATACAGCAAGAGGAAAAGAGCAATATAAAATCGGACCAAGTAAAAACGTGTTTACATCGGTTCAGAGGATACTGTATGAAATGTGTTCTTTTGTTACTTTAACCTCCCCCACCCAAAACAAACAAACCCTGATATCCATTGCCAAATAGAACAAATACATCTATTGCTAAATATGTTTTGTCGTTATCATGATCACCCATTTCGTCGTAACAGACCTGTGAGTGTGACTGACCTAAGGTCACCCAGTGAGCTTCTGGGCTGAACGAGATAAGAAGCTGGACTGGCATTTTGCCTGGGACTTACATCTTCCTAAGTGAACTTTCATGTGTGCTAAACTAAAGGGAGTTGTCTCACAATATATTCACCTAGGGGTTGTCATAAAGTTATAGTGTACAGATATAAATTATACAATGGTAGTCAGTGGTGAGACTGATGTGCCAAGGCCTGATGTACCTGGGCACCACTGTGAATCAGATAATCCCAATGTGCATCAGACGTGCCCAATGTCCTCTTACAGGTGCCCAGACGCACATTTTCACAACTCGCTAACAGTCTACATTACAAAAGTCCAACATAACTACAGGTTCATAAAGTTACAAAATGTAGGCTGTGATGCAAGATCTCTTAAGTCATGGCTACATATGCTACCTACTATGTTGCTTCTCTATATAGTATTAGTTACAGTGCCATAACCCTTTTAAATATATTCTTGTGAGACTCTTCAGAGGACAAAGCTTGTAGGGCCCCTTCCCTCCTCTTTGAATGGAGAATCAGCTGGTCAGAGAAGGGCTGATTGACTCGTGGCTTCATCGGCATGTGTTTTTTCCCTATCTGTATTTGCGTGCTGAGTTGCAACATTGTGCCCAGAGCTGAGGGCTTTGCTGATAAGAAGAGGAAGTTTACATGCCACAAGTGTGTGGTGAGACGAGATACGGGAACCCCGGGAAGGGAAGACACTAGCACTGGATGATACAGAAGCAGGCGGGATGTTTCCATGGCCTAGAGATCCAAGCAGGAACGTAGTTGCAACTTGCCCCTCTGTAAAAGCGCAATGCAACAAGCTGTTGCAAAAATCAGCTTCTCCAGACATGTTGCCTTGTGCTTTCCAAAAATCTACCTGACCACGATGTTGTTGGGTCAAGCACTTTGTCTTGATAGATTTCCATATTTTGACAGCATTGTTCATTACTTTTTTTCCCCTTTCTATTTTTTAAATTCAAACTTTTCACAGAAAAAAACACAAAACAACAATGCATTTACTTACATAAACATGCTTGAGTAGCAGTTGCATAACTACACAATTGCTCTCACCAACATACATCTCTAGTTACATGTAAATCTAAAATACAAACATGTATACATAAATTAGTTTTAAAAGAGGATTCCTCCTATCCTTTTGTCAGTTTCTCTATAGTTTTTTCTTCCACCTTATATCCAACAGCTACTTGCTTCTGCTAGTTTTTACATTAACAAATGAATATCCCAACAGGTTCTATCTCCAAACGTACATGAAGTCTTTTTCTCTCCATCAGATATACATCATTTGAAAGGCTTCCGTTCTTCCAAAAATGTGTCTAGTCATTTATCCTGAATCAAGATGTTAATTTCTCCAATTCTATTAGCTCCCACATACTGTCTGCTCTTCTATAGTTAGTATTTCTGTCTTTTTCCATCTTTGATCGCAGAGAATTCTTACCAGTGTTAATGTGTATTGCAACATGCTCTCACATTCCTTTTATTTGATCAACCAACAGTCCTGACTTGGAGCTGATTCTTAAGAGTTTCTTGGATTACCTCATGAATTTGTCTACAATTTATTTTGGCCTTTTTACAGCTCTGCCACATATTATAGTGAGATATTTGTGAACCCTTCATTTCTTATTGCTAGTTTGGGGGATGTTCTTGTGAGCCAAGTAGCATTTAAATCTTGGTATGCTTTATGAGAGGGGACAAGGGGCTATGTTTGCAAAATGATGGGGAAATGGTACTGAGTGGGACTGATTGCAGTTGGGAGTCCAGCAAAATCTGGAGAGCACAGGTTCAATGTCCTTGGCCAGATTGTGGGAAAGTTAATTTTTTGAATTACACCCCCAGACACACACACACACACACACACACACACACACCACTAGAATGCCCCCTACAGGCCAAAATACTAACAGCAACTGCATTTACGTAGTCCAAACACTCCTGGAAGTGCTGGAGCACAATGAGACTCACAAGTGTCTAATGTGCATCAGGAGTGCCTAGTGCCCATTGAAAGCCCTTGATGAACGTCTGAAAACCCTTGCTGGTTCCCAGTAGTGTTGTTGCATTTCTCCAACATAGTTATGGATTCATAAAGCTACAAAACATGGAAAATGATGTAGACTGAGCTAACTTTTCCAGACTCTTCCAATACCAAGGGTAAGGAAGAGTGACTCGTTCAGCTTCTGTATCACTTGCACATGTGCTCAGAAATGTCTTTGGCCCTGTTACCAGAGTAGGTTTTCCATCGTCCTGAGGAAACTGAGGGACCCAAGGTCACCCAGTGAATTTCTGTGGTATTTGGACTCTGGTCTCCTGGAGATGTAATACAATACTCCAGGTAGACTACCATACTGCTTCCACCACTCTCCAAGGGCTAACGTGCTGAAGATGGAGCACAGAACCAATGGATGATAACTGCAGGGATGCTTAGGAGATGCTTCCTAACTGTAAGAGCCGTTGGACCGTGGAATGGGCTGCTTGTGCAGAGCTAGCAGGTTCTCCTTCACAGGAGAGCATTTGTCAAGGATGCTGTAGCTGCCTCCCAGCACTGCAGATCTAGCACTCAGCAGGAGGTTAGGCAAAATGATGTCTTCCACCTCTCATATCCAAGGATTCAGTGTGTCTTCCATGCTGGGAAACCAAAGAGTGGAACAAATGTCTTTCAATTTCCCCAGTTTGTTTTTGCGTGGGCCGTTGAAAACATCCAAATGACCCTTTGTAGGCTGCTTTTCCAGTCCAAATAGATTACCAATCCTTGCTCTTTTTCCTCATTTTTTTAATGTACAGCCACTGCATTGCTGCTGCAGTTTGTTGCTAACCTGGCATCTGTTCAAATAACAGCAGTAAAATGCCGTTGAGGGACAGGCAAGAGAAACAGTTGGGTTCCCCAGCAAAATGGAACGTGCTCTAGATGTATGTATGCATTCATTTCAAATTTTCAATTTTAATTGTATAATATTTATTTACCTGAATATGCATTAGTTAGCACAGGGGAAATACTTATGTATACATGCACACGTGCCCACGCAGAAAGGAAGAAAATCTTATCAGCCAAATATAAAGCAAGGAAGAAAGGAACATGTAAGGACACGATTCAGAGAAATGCAATAAGCCCAAGAAATCTTCCCATCCTTAGAAGTACATTTTATAAATCTGGAGTTGCATTGATAGGAGTATAATGTGATAAGAACATAAATGGTCACTTCTAATAGAGGAAGCAGTCTTGAAGGTTTTGGAGTTGGCTCGATGACACTGCTTTCTGGAGCAGACTGGCAAAAGTGGACCACCAAGACCTCTAGTTAAGCCTTGGGTACTATCAATCAGAAGTATCCTAAATGAAATCTTCAAGAAATGGATTTAGCAGTAGGATAAGACTGAATGGCCTGTGGGGACCTTTCCAATGCTAAAATTCAGTTATAAAGGCAGTTTGGACCCTCACACGAAGAATGCATCTATCCTGTGCACAGTTTGTTTGGGAGAAGACTCCGCCAAACATGTGGAAGGCACTTCTGTGTACAAATAGACTGGTCATGCCTGCCATGGGAGCATTTTCATCACATTTTGGGAGACCCTCAGATCATTTTTAGTTTCAGTAGAAACTTTTCTTAGCAACAGGAAATGTCCAAAGCCACTTCCTATTTTAGAAAAAGGCTTTTTTCGCCATCTCAGGACCTCAATTTAGGAACTAGTGGTAGGAGACAGTGACCTACACCTAGAGCAGTGTTTCTCAACCTTCCTAATGCCGCGACCCCATTATTCCCCTTTCTCATGTTGTGGTGACCCCCACCCATAAAATTATACTTTAGGCATATTGTTCCCCCATTCAAACTTACTCAACCTATTAATCAATTAAAGCTCATACGACTATCACTTATCTGGCCTACTTCACAGGGGTCTTATGAGGATAAAAGGGGGAAGAAGGAGGAGCAGGAATGTCCCCTTAGACTCCTTAGACCAGTGGTTCTCAACCTTCCTAATGCTGCGACCCCTTAATACAGTTCCTCATGTTGTGGTGACCCCCAGCCATAACATTATTTTTGTTGCTACTTCATAACTGTAATTTTGCTACTGTTATGAATCGTAATGTACATATCTGATATGCAGCATGTATTTTCATTCACTGGACCAAATATGGCAGAAATACCCAATATATCCATATTTGAATACTGGTAGGGTTGGGGGGATTGATTTTGTCATTTGGGAGTTGTAGTTTCTGGGGTTTATAGTTCACCTACAATCAAAGGGTATTCTGAACTCCACCAATGATGGTATTGAACCGAACTTGGCACACAGAACTCCCATGACCAACAGAAAATACTGGAAGGATTTGGTGGGCATTGACCTTGAGTTTTGGAGTTGTAGTTCACCAACATCCAGAGAGCACTGTGGACTCAAACAATGATGGATCTGGACCAAACTTGGCAAAAACACTCAATATGTCCAAATGTGAACACTGGTGGAATTTGGGGGAAAATAGACCTTGACATTTGGGAGTTGTAGTTGCTGGGTTTTATAGTTCACCAATAATCAAATAGCATTCTGAATCCCACCAACAACAGAATTGGGCCAGATTTCCCACACAGTGCCCCCATGCCTTGAAGAGACTCAGTGGCCTGAGCCTCCATCCAGCCTCATGTGCTCTCCTTCACCAGCACATGTACACCATGCTACCATGCGGTAACCCCGCCTGCTCTCCCCTCCTTCCCCTTGACTGATAGGCAGGCCAATCACAGCAGGAGGAGGGCTTTTGGTGGGAGGATTAACCGTGTGTTTCCATATAGGAAGAGAAGGACAGGAGAGAGATTTTCTACCAAAGGGGTTCCTAAGACCATCAGAAATATATGTTTTCTGATGGTCTTTGGCGACCCCTCTGAAACCCCCTCGTGATCCCCCCCAGGGGTCCTGACCCCCAGGTTGAGAAACGCTGGCCTAGAGCGCAAAAGTCCTTCTCATGTCTGCATCATGTTGATGTACCCGCCCAAGATTTCACAGGATATGTGTGGACAAGCTTTGTCAAAGTCTGGGCAAAGTGGCAAGGTGAATGAGGAAGATGCTTGCCTGCATCTGAGCTGAAGAAAAGAACAGGAAAGTGGGAGAAGGCAAGAAAACCCGGGGGGCATCTTGAAAGCAGCTTCTTAGAGTGCCTTACTATTCAACGAGGATTGCAGGCAGAGGATGCTTTCAAAGGGGTGTCCTCTGGCATCCCAACCAACAAAGGGCTTTCCTCTGCAAAGTAAGAGGTATCCCAACCAAAAGAAATATCTGCAAAGCTGTTTTTCAGATTTTTTGCACCAGCCACACTATGTACGCGAATCCTCTTTCGACAGCTGGGCAGGGGGCCAACAAGCAAATCGCAAAGGACAAGTTCTTGGCAGCCTGGCACAGGCTGGCTCATCTCCTAGTTTCTTGGGGTTCTCCTGAAACAAGATTTTTCATTCTAAAGAGCAAGAATCAGAAAATGTCAGGGCGGGGGAGAGACAGATACAGAGGGAATGGCTAGACAGGAGTGCCGCAGTGAACTTTTCTCTCAAATGACTTTGACCCCCTGCTTTCCATCATCCCTGGCTTGGACGTCCCTGCCCTTCTCTTGTCTGTTTTTTTAGGAACATTTGCCAGCCTGAGTTGCCTGCACTGATTCAAAGGAGGCTTGGATATTTACTGCATTTATTAATGACAGAATGTACATTTTATTTGATAGCCAGAATGTCAAAACAGAAGCAAAGAAGATGTAACCCTTCAGGTATGGCTGAACCTTAAGTCTCATCTGTCCTTGCCAACATAGAAAATGATGTGGAATGCTGGGAGTTGCTGTTAAAAAAAAATCAGGCGATCTGGAGAAAAACTTACATAAAAGGAAAAAAAATGGGGTGGGAAAATGAAAACGAGATCTCTGATAATAATGTGAGGTTCCTATGCCTGGAATCAAAAAGTAAGAAAATGCCACAAATTCTACTGTGAAGTCAGCTGAACAAGGGGTTTTATAGTGACCCATCAAGGCAAAATTATGGATATTTGTGCCTCAAAAATTCTTGGTTGTTCTAACCTCTGCCAGAACAATTAGCCAGAAACTTATATCCCCTTTTAGTTAACATAATTGTATATCTACTTAGCTGAGTAGCAAAGATGCTAAGAAACCTTGTTAGTGTCTTGTGGAGATGAATATGGAGACATATATACAGGAACCAGCTAAGGGACCATTTGAGAGTATTACTTCAATTTCCTAACAGCTTAAATACCCTAAAGGCACCAGATGCCGATGATGGAAGTTAAGCAGGGTCAACCCTGGATAGTACCTGCAAAAAATATGTAGCGCTGTATATTTCAGAGGAAGAAGCAGGCCAAATTCACCTCTGAAGATTTGTTGCCTTAGAAAACCCTATGGAATTCAACAGCCCATTTGAAGGCACACACACAGAGAGAAACAGACTGCACTTCACTAGCTATTAGGGCAGTATGACAAGTAAATCAAGTTTTGTTTCAGGTCAGATTACCTTTTGGGCAAGCCATCTCTTTGAATGATGCTGCCTGGAATTGGTTGGTCAGTGAGAGCCAAGTTTAAATACTTCAAAAACTGTCAAATTGAGGAGGAGGTAGACTGGGACACGCCGCACTGGATCCAAGCTGCAGGAAAAGAGATTCCACCTAGAAGTGAGGAAGAACCTCCTGAAGATAAGAGCCTTCTGATGGTGGGAAATGCTGCCTTGGAGTCTAGTAGTCTCCTTTGGAGATTTTTAAATAGAGACTCGATGGCCATCTGTTGGGAATGCTTTGATTATATTTTCCTGCCTGGCAGAAGGGGGTTGGACTGAATGGCCCAGGAGGTCTTCCAATTCTAGGTCTGTATCAAATACATTCAACCATATCAAGGCCACCTTCTCTTCTGCCCATCCATCTGCGATGCCATTTGAAGTTAGACCCTCCATCCTGAGCATGGTAAAGTCGGCCCTGGGTGGAATCTAGATGTGCTTAGTATTGAAAGAGAACAGAGGGCAACCTTTAGGCAACTGGATCTTTCCTCCCTCCACAGTTTGACAATCTGTTTCTTTGGCGAAACTTAGCTGAACACCTTGGGTAATTCTCTGCCGTGTTGCATGCAGTATGGTGGCAGCTTTCCTCATTACAAGTGCTGTCTCTGGATGGCTGCCAAACAGGAACCGTGGGATTCCCAAACCGGGTGAGGATGGAGAGCGAGTGGGTCGGTCTTCCTCATTGAGGCGAACCAGGAGGGCTCTTGGACCCTGAGGAAGCCACACTGTCCTCTGTCTCTCTTTCTGTGCACATTATCATCAGTGGCTCATGCTTCCTCAAGATTTAAACTCCGCCACTGCACAGTGCACACAAGTCTGGCAGATTCCGCTGAGAGACGGCACCTGCTGTCAGCCCTTATTTGGGTGGCCCGGTCCATTGCTCTCTCCAACTTGTCCTCCTTCCAGGGGTCCATCATCATCACCACCACCACCATCCCTCCCCTCTGGGCCCAACTTGGGAGTTAAGTGGATTTTGCAGAAGCTGCACCCACAGTGTCAGAGCAATGGGTTCTTCCCACTCTATGTCAGAAGAAATCCGGGAGCTGGCCAACAAGACCGGCTGTGAGTATGGAGAGCAATTGCCCTTCCCTTCTGTCCTTTGACTTTTGTTTATAGACCTTTTAAAAAAAACATTTCTTTTGCAGTCTAGCCTGCTCTTGGGGAGGCTAGACTGGGGAAGGATGTGGCTTCAGCGGTAGCGCAACCCCAACCTGTAATATTTCCCCCCTCTGTGCCTTTCTGTCCTTCTGCAATGGGTCCACGCATTTGGCACACAGGAAATGTGTTTGTCAGCAACACCGTTCAGCTGATGCTGCCCCAGTTGGGCAAAAGGAAGTTGGTCAACCTGAGCCTGCTCTGGTTCCCACTTCCTCAAGGCTCTTCTTCCAAAGGGTGCAATGGCAGCTTTCAAACAAATTTTTCTTTGTCAGAATAGAAACTGGAAACATGGTTTACACTGTGTGCAAACGGCACCTTTCGAGTCCCAGACTCAAAAGGTGGCCAGGGTTCGAATCCTAACTCAGCCATGGAAACTCACTGGGCAACCTTAGGCCCGTCTCACCCCCCCCCCCCCAACAAATCTTGCCAAGAAACCCAGTGATGCCAGTTAGGCCTGGCATAAGGTGGAAATGAAGGCAAACCAGAACAACAACAAAGTTGTCTTAGGGTCACCCTAAGTCAGACACAACTTGAAGTTACCCAACAACCCACTGGATCTGCAAGTTGATTGACAAAGGACCGGCAAAGGTTTCCAACTCCCCAATGGGTCAGTAGCAAGGCCCTTCTCCTAAACCAGGCTGCTGAAACTAAGAAAAGCATGTGGCAGGGGAATAAAGAGTAGAGGTCTGTGTTGTCACATGTGGTTTTGTTTTGCATTGTTAATTCCTTCAAGTCAGCTCTGGTGTATAGCAAACCTCTGTTTTTCCTGCCATAATTTATTCAAAGGAGATTTTCTATTGTTTTCCTCTGAAGTTGAGAGAGTGTGAATCGTCCAAGGTCACCCTCTGAGTTTCCCAGGCCTCCCAGATTCCTAATCCAACATTGAGAAGACTGAGCTAGGCAGACTCCTACTCTGAGGAAATATAAGGCGTTGCCCAGTGGTCTGAGGAAGGGGCAGTAGGTCAGTGGTCAAATGTCTGCTTTGTTTGAATCCTACCTAAAATCCTGAATTCAGCTATCCCATAATAATAAAAATCCACTTATTTCTGGTCCAGCTCTGTCAGAGTTCAAACTGCTGATTCTAACTGTCCAAGTCCTATATGACTTGGCCATCACACCAAATCTTGCTCATCTAGAGCAGCATTTCTCAACCTGGGGGTCGGACCCCCTGGGGGGGTCATGAGGGGGGGGGTCGCCAAAGCCTATCAGAAAACACATATTTCTGATGGTCTTAGGCAGAGAAGGCTGAAGATCTGCCCTTCTCTTCCTTTTTGGAAAAAGACAGTGAATCTTCCCACCAAACGCCCTCCTCCTACTGTGATTGGCCGGCCTCTCAGCTGGCCTCTCAGCCAAGGAGAGGGCTGTTTCTGAGACTCATAGAATCATAGAATCAAAGAGTTGGAAGAGACCTCATGGGCCGTCCAGTCCAACCCCCTGCCAAGAAGCAGGAATATTGCATTCAAATCACCCCTGACAGATGGCCATCCAGCCTCTGTTTAAAAGCTTCCAAAGAAGGAGCCTCCACTACACTTCGAGGCAGAGAGTTCCACTGCTGAACGGCTCTAACAGTCAGGAAGTTCTTTCTCATGTTCAGATGGAATCCCCTTTCTTGTAGTTTGAAGCCGTTGATCCGCGTCCTAATCTCCATGGAAGCAGAAAACAAGCTTGCTCCCTCCTCCCTGTGGCTTCCTCTCACATATTTATACATGGCTATCATATCTCCTCTCAGCCTTCTCTTCTTCAGTCTAAACATGCCCAGCTCCTTAAGCCGCTCCTCATAGGGCTTGTTCTCCAGACCCTTGATCATTTTAGTCGCCTCCTCTGGACACATTCCAGCTTGTCAATATCTCTCTTGAATTGTGGTGCCCAGAATTGGACACAATATTCCAGGCGTGGTCTAACCAAAGCGGAATAGAGGGGTAGCATTACTTCCCTGATCTAGACACTATGCTCCTATTGATGCAGGCCAAAATCCTATTGGCTTTTTTTGCCGCCACATCACATTGTTGGCTCATGTTTAACTTGTTGTCTACAAGGACTCCAAGATCTTTTTCACATGTACTGCTCTCGAGCGAGGCATCCCCCATTTTGTATCTTTGCATTTCGTTTTTCCTGCCAAAGTGGAGTATCTTGCATTTGTCACTGTTGAACTTCATTTTGTTAGTTTTGGCCCATCTCTCTAATTTGTCAAGATCGTTTTGAATTCTGCTCCTGTCCTCTGGAATTTTGGCTATCCCTCCCAATTTGGTGTTGTCTGCAAACTTGATGATCATGCTTTCTAGCCCTTCATCTAAGTTATTAATAAAGATGTTGAACAGGACCGGGCCCAGGACGGAACCCCGCAGCACTCCGCTCTCACTTCTTTCCAAGATGAAGAGGAAGCATTAGTGAGCACTCTCTGTGTTCGTCCACTTAACCAATTACAGATCCACCTCACCGTAGTTTTGCCTAGCCCACATTGGACTAGTTTCCTTGCCAGAAGGTCATGGGGGACCTTGTCAAAGGCCTTACTGAAATCCAGGTACGCTACATCCACGGCATTCCCCGCATCTATCCAGCTTGTAACTCTATCGAAAAAAGAGATCAGATTAGTCTGGCATGACTTGTTTTTGATAAATCCATGTTGACTATTAGCGATGACCGCATTTGTTTCTAAGTGTTTGCAGACCACTTCCTTAACAATCTTTTCCAGAATCTTGCCTGGTATCGACGTGAGGCTGACCAGACGGTAATTGTTTGGGTCATCCTTTTTTCCCTTCTTGAAGATTGGGACCACATTGGCTCTCCTCCAGTCTGCTGGAACTTCTCCCGTTCTCCAAGAACTCTCAAAGATGATTGCCAATGGTTCCGAAATGACTTCCGCTAGTTCCTTCAGTACTCTTGGGTGTAGTTGATCTGGCCCTGGGGACTTGAACTCATTTAGAGCGGCCAGGTATTCCTGGATGACTTGTTTCCCAATTTGGGGTTGGATGTCCTCTAATCCCTCACCCACTCCATCTTGCTGAGGTTGAAGATGGCTTTCTTTTTGTGAGAAGACCGAGGCAAAGAGGCATTAAGTAATTCTGCCTTTTCCCTACCCCCTGTCAGCATTGCCTCATCTTCTCCTCGAAGAGGCCCTATCGCCTCCTTGTTTCTCCTTTTTCTACTGACATAAGAAAAGAAGCCCTTTGTATTGTTTTTAATGTCCCTGGCAAGCCTGAGCTCGTTTTGTGCTTTAGCCTTGCGGACCTTTTCCCTACAGGTGTTGGCTATTTGTTTGAATTCTTCTTTGGTGATTTCTCCCTTTTTCCATTTCTTGTGCATGTCTCTTTTGTGTTTTAGCACAGTTAGAAGTTCTTTGGACATCCATTTTGGCTTCTTTGCACTTGTCCTATTTTTTCTCTTTGTTGGCACAGTTTGCAATTATACCTTGAGTATTTCACTCTTGAGAAATTCCCATCCATCCGTAACTCCCTTATCTTTTAGTATCTGTGTCCACAGAATGCTGCTCAGTGTTTCCTTCATTTTTCAGAAATCAGCTCTCCTAAAGTCCAAAATGCGGGTTTGACTTGTCTTAGTTTCAGCCTTCCTTTGTACCTCAAATTGCAGGAGCACATGGTCACTTGCCCCTAAGGATCCGACCACTTCAGCCGCATCGATCAGGTCCTCCGCATTTGTTAGGATGAGATCAAGAGTAGCCAACCTCCTTGTTGCCTCTTCTACCTTCTGGACCATGAAACTGTCTGCAAGGCAAGCGAGGAATTTGTTGGATCTTGTACTCTTGGCTGAGTTTGTTTTCCAGCAAATATTGGGATAGTTGAAATCGCCCATGACTACTACATCTCTTCTCTGTGCCTGTTTTGTCAACTGTTGGCAGAAGACTTCATCAAGTTCTTCCTCCTGGCTTGGTTGTCTGTAGTAGACGCCTACAACGACATCTTTTTGAGTCCCAGTTCCCTTGATTCTTATCCAGATGCTTTCAAGCTGGCTTCCCAGATTGCTCTCTTGCATCTCTTCTGCAGCATAACAGCTTTTGACATATAAGGCTACTCCACCTCCTCTCCCCTTTGTTCGGTTTCTGTGAAAGAGGTTATAGCCCTCGATGTCAGCTCACGGCAGCCGGTTCAGTGATGACACGAGACTTCCATCGTAATCAAACAAAGACCTTTACTATCGGATGCATAGACACAGGAAAAGCCAGGATTGCCTGGCCGCAACAGGCAACCCCTTATATACACTCCCACCCGTTCAAAGAGTGGATTCCCGCCAGACCCAAAACCCCGCGCGAAATTTCCCACCACCAAGTAACTGCCTTCCTCCAAGGCCACCAGCTGCAGGGTCCTTATCTGAGTGAAGCGTCAGGAGTCTAGTTTTCGGCGCCAAAGCCTAGGCCCCGGAAACTGGATCCTGACATGGATCTGGACATGGTCTACATTCCAGCGATAGGAGTCATCCCACCAGGTTTCCGTAATGCCTATGATATCATATTTGTGGTGTTGTGCTAAAAGTTGGAGTTCGTCTTGTTTATTTCCCATGCTCTGTGCATTAGTGTAAAGACATGTGAGCCCCTGAGACCTTCCCCTGAGCTGTTTAATTGGGATTATTGGGATTACTCCAGGGAGGGGAGAGCAGGAGTGCTCAGCACATGGCAGTGTGATGCGCATTTGCGGGCAAGGGAGAGCATATGAGGCTGGAAGGAGGCTTGCACCAGCGAGTCCCTTCAGGGCAGGGGGAAAAGCGCCCACGTGACATGGGACTGATATTGTTGATGGGGTTCAAGGGGCTGTATGACTGTAGGTGAACTATAAATCCCAGCAACTACAACTCCCAAATATTAAGGTCTATTTTCTCAAATTCCACCAATGTTCACATTTGGACATATTGAATATTCATGCCAAGTTTGGTCCAGATCCATCATTGTTTGA